CTGACCGATACACAGTTGTAACCCTTGTGTGTGTGTGTGTGTGTGTGCTAATATATAACAACATTACGCAACCGAAACTCCACCGCTCTGTTCAATCGATCCAATGTCTTACACACACAGGGAAATAACATTAGGAGTTATGAGTTTCCGACTGTATTTCAAGTCAACTTTAAGGACATCAACAAAAACAATCATTAAATATACCACACTTCACCTCAGACGGTCACAACCTACCGTGTTCACCGTAACCTAGTAATACCCAATTCTATATAATTTGGAGTTTATCATTTAATATAAGTATGAATATCGTATACTTGGCTGCGTTGCTGTTCTGATAAATTATTTGTTATTTCTCTCTACCTCAAGTATTAATCTATTTCATCTATACATATATTTGGTAAATTTTCGAGGACAACAGTACACACGGCGCCTCACTATAACTGTACAAAAGGACTCTGTTTTTATTTGAGAACTGGTTAATGTAGTTTCAGAATACCTGTAAGAAGTGTCAACATAACTATTACAACACTGATTTATCTCTCTCGTTACCATAACACGTTTCTTTGACTTTAGACGAAACCTTCAACTATAAAGAAATTAGGAGAGTAAATCAGTTCTTGCCCTGAGTTTAATAATATGAGGTGGAATTTGTCATCTAAGTGTTCAGGTTCACATTATAAAGATTTGGTAACTTGTGTTCAGGTTCACATTATAAAGATTTGGTAACTTGTGTTCAGGTTCACATTATAAAGATTTGGTAACTTGTGTTCAGGTTCACATTATAAAGATTTGGTAACTTGTGTTCAGGTTCACATACCTGAGATAGTAACAAAAGAGTCATGATGATTAAGACTTATTAATGCCCTGTAGTACTCTATTGTTTTTTGTTATCTATAAATTCGAATTTCAGACCCTTTTCGACTTCCCTAATAACAAGGTACAGGGCGGGAATCTAAGTTATTTACTTAGTTGAAGAGTGTAAGAGGATCCTTATCAGAAGGCCACACACACACACACACACACACACACACACACACACAGTCACCAACATCAGTCAATGGTATGGTAAGCTTAAAGAACTCTGTGGACTAAACAATAAGACACACCCCCTCCCCTTCCTTAGCCATCTCACTAATGTTGACGCAGCTGAGCAAACAAATAACCATTTCGCTACTATATGCCAGACGCTCCCCGGCTTGACACAACCACTCTCCCTGCTTACCTACCAGCCCCCCTTCCCACTGACTTAGTAGAAGAATTTGAAGTAGCAAAACGCCTGGACAAACTAAAATTAAAACGCTCTACCACCCCCATTGACTTACCAATGAAACTCTTCAAGGAGTTCTCCCCGGAGCTTGCTAAACCCCTATGCTCCATCATCAATGCTTCTCTCAGTCAAGCCAGATGCCCAGCTGACTGGAAGACCTCTTATGTATCACCAGTGCCCAAGTCAACCAGCCCACAATCCTTAAATCAGCTACGACCTATTGCAATCACCCCAATACCCAGCCTAATCTGTGAAAGTTTTGTGTTCGACTGGGCTTATGCTGATATTGCAGGAGTCGTAGACCCTCAGCAATTTGGCAACATGAAAACTTCCTCCACCACTCACTGTCTTGTCAGCTTTCTCGATTACATATACCGCCATCTCGAGAAACGAAAACGTCTGTAGCTGTCGCCTTCATTGATCTCACTAAAGCATTCGACCTAGTCGACCACAATATAATCATCAACAAAGCTATTGACCTCGGGCTTCGGAGAAGTCTTATACCATGGCTTACAGACTTCCTCAGTGACCGACGCCAAGCTGTATGCTTCCGAGGGGCTGTCTCCACCTTTCAGTCACTCACCTGTGGCGTCCCCCAAGGCACCAAGATGGGACCACTCTGCTTCCTTATGCTCATCAATGATGCCCTAAGAGGAACCCCTGCTCACTGGAAATATGTCGACGACTCCACCATTGGGGACTAAAGGTCACCACCTTGCTCCTAACTATACCGCCCTTCAGGATTTATTGAACAGTCTCCAAACTGGGCCACTAACAACCATGTCAAATACCATCAACCATACCAAGACCATGGTTATGCACATCAACCTCTCCTCCGACATTGTCCCACCTCCTTCCATTACCCTAGGTCCGAACACACTCCAGGTTGTAGATTCCACGAAGCTCCTCGGCGTCACCATAGACAACAAACTAAATTGGAAACCACACGTCAGTGAAGTTGTCAAATCCTCCAGTTTCCGTCTCCACCTCCTCCGCCGACTCAAGTCCCTCGGAGTTCCTGCACACGAGCTCCTCAGTGTATACACAACATTCATACTTCCTAAGCTCACCTATGCCTCCCCCACCTGGTCTTCCTCCCCCAAAATGCCACACAACATAAACACCTAGAAACAGTGCAAAAGAGGGCATGCAAGATTATTCTCTCCCCTTCCTACTCCACATATCAAGAAGCGCTCAACACATTGACCCTTTCGACTCTCACTGACCATCACCACGACCTCATCTACAAATTTGGTAAGAAGCTTCTGCACCATCCTCGACACCGGCTCCTACTACCACCTGAGATCCCTAGCCCGAGAATTGTTGTTCGACACCACAACCGCATCCAGCCCATACGTGCACGAACTGATCGCTATAAGAACAGTCCAGTCCCAACCATTGTAAAAATTATCAATAACTTGTAATAAACCAGTGTATTCACTCCCAGTAAACACTACTCCTTGCACTGTCACTATGTTGAAATGAACTGTAGTTTGAGCTTTTCCTCATCTAGTTATTATATGTCTTATTTGTGTCACTTATGTTACTTGTATATTATTTGTAATTCGAAACCCATTCCCCAAATATGTAACTGTATATTTTCAGCCTTCTGGCTGCCAAGCTCTTTCAATAAACCGTTAATTATTACATTATTATTACACACACACACACACACACACACACACACACACACACACACACACACAGCATTATCGTTAATATTTTTAAACCAAGATAAGTTATGAGTGCATATTTGTGGTGGTATAAGTGTTTTGAAGAATTCTAAATATAATCTAAATTATACTGGAGAATATAATTATACATTCTCCAGGACTGCAACCGGTGAAATAGTCGAGATCGCCAAGACCGAGGCCAACACTACTGACTACAATCACAAGTTTATCTGAAATACTTTCTGTCGGCTGTGTTAACACATATCTCTCACACACCTCAATAGTATGGCGAGTACATTTACGTAGCTTACATGGTACAATTAACTTCAGACCTGGTTAAAAAAGTTAATTGTGTTGCTTAACATATAACCGAGTTTAACCCTTTCACGCCAATTGCTACGGAATTTTATTTTGGTCACCGCCAGACGATTTCATAAAGTTTTAGGGAAATCTCTAGGAGGCAAAAGGTTAAAGCTAACGAGTGAAACAGAAAAATGGATCTCTCATGATTGTGTTCCCTTGTTTGACGTTGTTGTTATAATGTTATTACTGCGCTTAAACAAAAAAGGTCTTTAAGAGCGTAATAAAGTTTGCAATTACAGTACTCCATCGTCAATTAAAACTTATGGAATAGAGATCTGTATTGGTTTTTGCCTCATCTCAATTTAACGACCCAAAGGTGTGATTTTTCGAATAGTCTACTATAAATTAAGATAAGGTCTTTCTCTCCACCAATTCAATTCAATTTCAATTGTTTATTCCTTGATAGAGGAAGCGGGATCCTAGTGCTGTCACTAGGTACCCCTGTACAATGACACCAGAATCATCCGGCAAGTGTGAAAAGTATATACAGTATAAATATTATAAAGGGGCTTACTAAAGCCTAAGGAAGGAAGGATATTCCTTTAACACATAATCAATATTATTTACAAAATATCTGGCCATTCTCTCCACCACTGATTTATTACCTTAAGCCTGAGGATGATGATGGTGTTAGACTCCACGTGTAAAGGATCAGACAATTTCTATCATAATCTAGGCATTTTCTCAGATTTATAATACAGGTCATTTATGTCGCATTTGTTTCTCTTTAAAAAATACTCTAAAATCGCATCTTTCTGTGGTAGGTCTTCACTGTAGAAACTATAATCCATCAAATAAAGTGTAAAGGCTATGTATATATTTCTCCCAGTAAACGGAACATAGCCAACAGCTGATACTTTCCTGGATATCACTAAAACAATATTGTCCGAGACTTTGCAAAGACAATCCACCTCACTGTGGGTTACTGGACACAGTCATTATGGAGACGAGCACAAGAGTCCACATAACCACACACAAACCTGCTTCATGACCCCGGAGGAAACTACTGCAATAACATAGGTTTAGCTCAGGTCATAACCAGGTTACATGAGGCCGACAATGTTAATATCTAGTTCGGAAACACATGACCGTGATCCATAAGGTATTTTCTGGAGTATGTTGATGTGGTGGGCTGAGTACGACCCTTGTAACGTCACTGATCATGGTTATATTTTTTCAGTATCTACAGTAAGTGAACACTCACCTTACCTGATCTAACCTAACCAAACTAGGGGAGCTCCCAGATCACAACACCGTATATCCTTTTATGTAATGAGAAAAATAAATAAATATAACTACAACTAAAGCACTTGAGTACAAATTTCTACTTCATTGAGCAAGATGGCACAGTACTCAAGGGGTTGTTATCGTACTCAAGGGGTTGTTATCGTACTCAAGGGGTTAATGTTCCCTTTAATATGATACTACAACGAACAACAAGGCTCTCATGTAAAGGCTCCCAGCATTATAATTAAATTCTCATTCATAACACAAATCCAGGTAATTTTCTCGCTATTACAACCACCAATTATGTGTCATAGCATAAACGAGCCAAATTGCGTCACTATATATTCCTAATTTAAAGGCAACTTAACACAGGAGCCATACAAATCCGAACTTCAAACAAACAAAAACATTCTTGGTCGGGAGTTAAGAACAATGCGTTGAATTAGTAGAACTCAAGAGTAATTTCTTACCTGCCACAGCTCTCACGGTGTTTGAAGCTGTGTGTGTGTGTGTGTGTGTACGTCTGGGAGAACACAGATGAGACGAGTGGGGTGGTGTGTCGGGACTAACCTGGGGTAATCATTATCAGAGAGCCATAGTCAGCTATTATCTCCTTATCTCTTGTGATTAGCATTTATCAAGCCCCGATACCTCTGTAGGAAGAAAATATCTGGAATTATTACATCTAAACTTTATAAAATTCTAATATTCAATCATAGAGTATAATCTAAAACAGGAGTTAAAATGTAATAAGTACAATGATTCTTAGTGTGACTCCAGCGTGTAGTGTTGTAAGGTGGACATGAGTACTGAGTATATTTTTCTTATAACAGTTACATAATGCTGGAATAATCCGTTTTTTGTTAACCATAACTATGATGTAATGCGCACAGGTAGATAAATTGGTTTGTTTGATTACAGGTGCTTCTACCATCAAGAACTACTTTACTCTAACACCAACACAACTGCCATAGCAACTATAACACCAACACAACTACCATGACTATAACTCCGACTAAACTACCATGACTATAACACCAACACAACTACCATGACTATAACACCAACACAACTACCATAACTATAACACCAACACAACTACCATGACTATAACTCCGACTAAACTACCATGACTATAACACCAACACAACTACCATAACTATAACACCAACACAACTACCATGACTATAACTCCGACTAAACTACCATGACTATAACACCAACACAACTACCATGACTATAACACCGACACAACTACCATGACTATAACACCAACACAACTACCATGACTATAACACCAACACAACTACCATGACTATAACACCAACACAACTACCATAACTATAACACCAACACAACTACCATGACTATAACTCCAACTAAACTACCATGACTATAACACCAACACAACTACCATAACTATAACACCAACACAACTACCATGACTATAACTCCGACTAAACTACCATGACTATAACACCAACACAACTACCATAACTATAACACCAACACAACTACCATGACTATAACTCCGACTAAACTACCATGACTATAACACCAACACAACTACCATGACTATAACACCAGCACAACTACCATGACTATAACTCCGACTAAACTACCATGACTATAACACCAACACAACTACCATAACTATAACACCAACACAACTACCATGACTATAACTCCGACTAAACTACCATGACTATAACACCAACACAACTACCATGACTATAACTCCGACTAAACTACCATGACTATAACACCAACACAACTACCATGACTATAACACCAACACAACTACCATGACTATAACACCAACACAACTACTATGACTATAACTCCGACTAAACTACCATGACTATAACACCAACACAACTACTATGACTATAACACCAACACAACTACTATGACTATAACACCAACACACAACTACCATGGACTATAACACCAACACAACTACCATAACTATAACACCAACACAACTACCATGACTATAACACCAACACAACTACCATAACTATAACACCAACACAACTACTATGACTATAACTAATTAAACTACCATGACTATAACACCAACACAACTACCATGACTATAACACCAACACAACTACCGATGACTATAACACCCCAACACAACTACTATGACTATAAATAATTCAACACAACTACCATAACTATAACACCAACACAACTACCATGACTATAACACCAACACAACTACCATAACTATAACACCAACACAACTACCATGACTATAACCTGACTAAACTACCATGACTATAACACCAACACAACTACCATGACTATAACACCAACACAACTACCATGACTATAACACCAACACAACTACCATGACTATAACACCAACACAACACCATGACTATAACTGACTAAACTACCATGACTATAACACCAGCACAACTACCATGACTATAACTCCGACTAAACTACCATGACTATAACACCAACACAACTACCATAACTATAACACCAACACAACTACCATGACTATAACTCCGACTAAACTACCATGACTATAACACCAACACAACTACCATGACTATAACTCCGACTAAACTACCATGACTATAACACCAACACAACTACCATGACTATAACACCAACACAACTACCATGACTATAACACCAACACAACTACCATGACTATAACACCAACACAACTACCATGACTATAACTCCGACTAAACTACCATGACTATAACACCAACACAACTACCATGACTATAACACCAACAATATCTTCACCATAACAGCCCATAAAGTTCCACACTATTTTTAATTTAATATCCCAGTGTTTAAGCTTAAGTTTAGTTCATACATTTTAACTGTTTACTGACTAAAATATACATGTACAGTTCAGAGACAAAAGTTCGCTCCCTGTGGTGAAACCGAGTCACGGGAATGAGTCTCCAAACTGACTTACCCTGACTGTTTCATCTCGTTTTGGGACGATGCTGCTTCATTTTGAGCAGTGGTGAACTTTTGACACCGACTGTACCTACATAATAAAAGATGGACATGAGATTGATTGGGTTTGATGCTTAATCCAAACAGTACTTGTGAGACCCTGGAAGCAGATAATGAGGGAGGTTCGTTTGACTGCTTCAGTATCAGGGTTACCCGGTTGAGGTTCGGATCTTTGGTGTCTCGTATTATACCAATGGAATAAGTTAAAGGGGATTTATTTGAAGGAACAATATCAGTGTATCAGTTCGCTTGGTGCGTGTTCAACTGTAGATAAGATTAAATGCGGTTTACAATTGATTATAAGGTGGACGTGCTGTACTGTCCCCTACAGTTCTACGGGCGACAGAGGCTAGTAGAGCGGTTGGAAATGTGGCACCACCGTGTTTGTTTACATCCAAGGTAATTACGTGAATCAACAGGAATAACCTTGCAATTTTAGCCCGGCTTTGATGATAGTTTATTGAGATTACTAACCGAATTTTTTAAGCCATTTAACCTTCGTAAACCAGGTCATTTAACTTCTATAAAACAGGCCAGTTACCCTTTATAAGTTATGTCATTTAACCTTCATAAACCAGGTCATTTAACCTTCATATACTAAGTAATTTAATCTTCATAAACCAGGTCAGTTAACCTTCATATACTAGGTAATTTAACCTTCATATTCTAGTTAATTTAATATTCATAAACCAGGTCATTTAACCTTCATAATCTTGGCCATTTATCCTTTTTCAAACTAATCTCTTCTGTCCAGTGTAATTATGTTGTATTAAAAATTGATGCCTAGAGGGAAAAACTTCAAGTCTCTATTCACCTTTATTGCACGGAAAAAAATATACAGTTGCAATCGCCAATGATTCATTCTATATAAATCATGCCCAAACGATCAGGCATATTTTTCAATGTAAAGTTGTTTCTATGTTAAAAAAAATAAATATTGGTTAGGGTAGACCCCAGTTGGTTTGACAGCAATATACATATACTTAACTTACATAGGTAAAGATAAGTATGACAAGTTTATTAAAATTAGTTTATTTCTTAAGGATTCTCAGCTGCCGGGCCGTCGTAAGCGTGTGTTTCCTTCACGCTTTGAACTTTCATTGGTGTCAGATGGTTGAAGAGCAGAAACAACTCCAGTAGTGCCGTGGTCAACACACCAGTCAAAATACCGAAGCACCATCTGGTGCCGAATTCTTCGTACACGTACGAGATAACGACGGGGCCTATTATACGGGCGAGACTCCCACAGTTACTAAGTAAACCCTGCCACACACCCTGGGGCTTTGGCCCCAACAACTTGGAAAATATGCCAAGCATGGTGCCTTGTGCCACAGGGAAACTGTTGAAGGCGATAAAGAAGGCTACAAAGAGCTGCGCCTCAGGTAGCTGAGGTGTGTAGGTGCACCATACCTGGCTTTGTGGACATCCAGGTGTACAGTCACTGGGGTCATTGTCACTGAACAATATAGTTTTGACACTGGGATAGTTCGCATCGTATAGTTGTATCACATCAGTTGTGGCTTCAGTAGTCGTGCTCATTGTTACATTGTCTAAGTCACATTTTTGCATAGGAATGACACCGTTTCCCCACGGCAAGAAGAGGAACATCCCAACCGTGGCAGGCAGGAAACCCCCGAGAATCATGACGAGTCTCTCATCAAACTTCTTGACAATGACAGCAGTGATACCATAGGTGAATACGTTCAAAAGGGATATGACGCTTGTGGAAATACCCATAATTACCATAGCTCTGTTCTCTGTCCAGGCGTACTCATCCATGACCATAGGCGTCATCAAGGTCTCCACCAGCACCCCGATGAAGAGAAGACCGAAACGGCTGAAGAAGATGCCACCAAGGCCGAGGTAATCTGGTTTAGGCAGCTTCATTCCCTCATCTTCTTTTCTGGATTCTTTCAACAAGTTCCGTTTCTTAGCGGCAATATTGTATTCCTGTAAAATGATAAAAGAGAGAGAGACATTATTGCATAAATATTGGAATTTTACAAACAACCTGGAGGAGTGTAATACATTAAGGCGGGGAGTTGTATTTCTGAAGAAGAAACACACAAACAGACATCAAAACAAAGCCGTATAAAAATAAAATATAAGAACGGGAAAGACAACTTGATTTAAATACAAATAATAGTAAGGGTTGTTAAAGTCAGCCATGAATCACAACTTTGTCTATATCACTGCAGCTAAAACAATCGTATACCCTTTAATTATTACATTATGTTTTTCTTACTTAGTCTTAATTACAACACCAGACACAATGTTATGATAGACATCGGTGTTATTGTGTGTTATGGATGTGTGTTTTGGGTGGGTTACTGTGTGTTAGGGGTGTGTTACAACCAGTCTCTCATCTCTACACCCAGCCAGTCTCGTCCCAGCACCCAGCAGTTTCATCTCAGCACCCAGTCAGTCTCGTCCCAGCACCCAGCAGTCTCATCTCAGCACCCAGTCAGTCTCGTCCCAGCACCCAGCAGTCTCATCTCAGCACCCAGCCAGTCTCGTCCCAGCACCCAGCAGTCTCATCCCAACACCCAGCCAGTCTCGTCCCAGCACCCAGCAGTCTCATCCCAACACCCAGCCAGTCTCGTCCCAGCACCCAGCAAAGAGTCTCATTAAGGTCCATGTGACTCACTTGGAAGATACAGGGGGAGAGGAGGAGGAGGCAGATGAAGCACATGGCAGCTGACAACAACGCCGACGCCGTGTACTTGTTCCACACAAACCAGTCAACACCGCTGGGTATGTTCTCAGGGAGCGCCAAGGTAAACAGAGCCTGCATTACTATAGGGAGATACTACGTGTTATTATCAGCCATTAAGATGCTAGACTTTTTTTGGGGGGGGAGGGAAATGGATAAATATTTTTCATAACCTTCAACCCGTGAGATGTCTTGACAAGCAATTATACCTAATTGATCGCAAACGAAATTTAACAATAATGAAGAAGAAAATAATAACTGGAGTGATTAAATGGTAGAGACAAGGGGGGAGAAAAAATGGTTTACTTGGGCCTACGACGATCCCTCCAGACATGAAAGCGGAGAGCATGCTGAGGGAAGAGGTGCATTCCTCAGTGGTGGTCGAAGACGACAGGTATATTCGACACAGCGTCCCAACAGCTGTGAAGAACAGCATTTATTTTGTGTCGCATATTTCCACATTTGATATTTTTTCATGTGTAACACACACACACACACACACACACACACACACTCACTTACCTTGACTGATGCCAATGATGAACCTGCAGAATACTAAAGCGTAGTAAGGCGCCCACTCTCCCAGGCCCTTAAAAGCGTAGAGTAAAGCGTACATAATGTTGCCGAACAAACTTAGAAGCACAGTGAAGATACAGAAAGGTCTGTAGAGAGAGGGAGAGAGAGAGGAGGTGGGAAGATATTTGTATCAAATAAATGTGAATAGCATTGTTACTAAAGCTAATTAGCCTAATTTAATTTTAGTTAACCTAATTTAGATACAGTTTTATTATCTTTTGATAGTAAAGCGATGTCTCATTGAAATAGTAAATTTCACCATTGCCAGGAGTATAGATGTAGAAATATGATGACATATTACTGTATATTGTAGTTTGTATAACTGTCTGGGAGTCCCAATAAATGGTGGCAGCGGTAGGATGACCAGTCTTCAACCGTGATAAATTGACACCAGTGCTGACCTTAGCACGCTCAAGAATTTGTGGTGTTGCAACAGTGTGTGGGGTGACTTCTATCTGCTTGCCTCTTGTTTCCTGTCATATTCATGCTCTCAGCTTCACACTAGGATTATTATTATTATTATTATTATTAATATTATTATTAATATTATTATTATTAGTATTATTACATACATACACAAGCACTAAACTTTTTCAACGGCCAATAAGTGCCTAATTTACAGCAACATTCATAAACAAACATGCAACCTTCAAGAAAGTCAATATTTACCACACATATTTGTATACAATTTAAACTCGGAATTGAGCGCTGGTAAACGAGTTATTGACTTACTTATGATTGGCCGTGGAGTTGACGGCATAGGGGTAAATGAGTTTGTGATTGGCTATTGAGCTGACAGGTAGGAGGGAGTTAGTGTGATAATGAGGAGGAAGATGATGTGAGGAAAGGTCAGGTAAAGGTAGATTATTATGTAATTTTTGTTCCTATTACCTCCTCCTTGCCCCCTGCCTCTCCTCCCCTTTCCCCACCTCTCCCCCCCCCCTCACACACAAGTCATTTCCAGTTTGGTGAGGGTAACCAAATGACGAAGCGGCGGTGGTGCAAAGAAACGCCTTTATAACTCACGGTCATGCTGAGAGGGAAGAGGGGAGGGGAGAGGGGGGAAGGGGAGAGGGGGGAAGGGAGAGGGGAGGGGAGAGGGGAGGGGAGAGGGGAGGGGGAGGGGAGGGGAAAGGGGAGGGGAGAAGGAGGGAAAGGGGAGGGGAGAAGGAGGGAAAGGGGAGGGGAGAAGGAGGAATGGGAGAGGGAGAGGGGAGGGAAAGGGAGAGGGACGGAAGGAAGGAGGGAGGAAAGGAAGGAGGGGGGAAGGGAAGGAGGGAGGGAGGGAGGGCAGAGGAGAGGGAAGGGAAGAGGAGAGGGAAGGAGGGAAGGGGAGAGGGAAGGAGGGGAGAGGGTGGGGGAGGGAAGGGGAGAGGGATGAGGAAGGGGAGAGGTAGAGAAGGGGAGAGGGAGGGAAGGGAAGGAAGGGAGGGAGGGAGGGAGGGAGGGAGGGAATTAGCGAGTCATATAGTTATAATGTACCGACGCTTCATAATAACAAATGCCAAGTAAAAATAACAATTATATTCCTCCAGCCAATTAGAATTCAGGTAGTAATTTATATATATTGTATAGCCAATTAGAATTCAGCTTGTCATTTATTTAGCCAATGAACAATCGATACCGTAAAGACAAGGTGTTCCAGTGTATATATGTTGGGCTCAAAGAGCGAAAACTAACCACAACGCGTAGTGGGTGTTTGGAAAATAACCAGAAAGCGAAATTTTGCTACAGGTTAGGTAAGGTTAGGTTTTGTTGCATTTGTTTGGGTTGAGTTTGATTAGGTTAGGTTAGACATGGGTGCATCGTGTGTGATGGCACCTTCCGCCTAGTATATGTTATCATCATATCACACTGCTATTACCAAATCATTCTCTCCCTCTCTCCCAGGTTGACTGAGGCCGGCTATACCACATCTCCTTCAGAACTAAGACCAGTACCTTTCCAGCTATAATGAGAACTATATAACCCTAGTTATCTTACCTGTTCAGTGCATGTTTCCTCCTCTTATGCAAGCACTGCTTGCTCCCTCTCGCTTTCAGCTGCCACCGCTGGCTAGCCCTCGTGGTGAACAGGGAAGCAGCTTGCACAAGTCTTCCCTTGCCAGTACGCAGCCTCCTCACCATCAAGACTCCTGCTGTGCCTCCTCGTGGGAACACACAGTAACTGGGTGCCTCGTGGGCCCAGGCTAGACCAGCAGGGGATCTCGGAGTAGCAGTGGACCCCAGAGGGACGGAGCATAGGCCCACTGGCATGTGGACATGTCCTGGCACCTACCAACCACTGCCCCGCTGCTTTGCCGATTAACTTTGGCAGGTATAAGGGTACGGGAGTAAAGGCGAAAGAGGTGACTACCATGGGAGCCCAATGACTACACAGGAGGACGAAGGCAACGCCTGATGGACAGGCTACCGAGGCAAAACTCAACAAACTGGGCTATTGGCAGTCCATTGGAACTCTCTCTCTCTCCCCAGTCATTGCAACACTTGCACCACTGGATCAGGAAAAGGGAGAGCCAAGATGTGTGGTTGCAGCCTGCGCTCCAGCCTCACCACATAAATCAATTAACGCGCAGCCATCATCCAGCTCATCATACCTCTCATCATCATCAAAACCCCAATACCCCCAAAAGTCCTATGGCGACGGGGACAAGCAAGGATGACTGCCAGGAGTCTCTAGTCACAACTCTACACATGGGCGGCACAGATAAGATGGTCGTTTATGCACTGGGATCTAGGCAGCAGTGCAATCCGGTTCTGTCTGTGAAACTGAGCAGCCCTTTCGAGGAGCCACTCTGCTCACCCCACATGGGGAGGGGGCCAGAAAAGGCGCCCTAAACATTGCCTACCTAAAAAAACAGCCTGACCCAGTAAGGTCATTCTTATGTGGTCGAAAACAATCAAAATCACAGATCCAAACAAAAACAAATTATACAACCTCTTACGGTCGCTGCATGGAATGTCAGGACCCTTCTAGATACTGGCACAAATGAGCGTCCTGAAAGAAGAACCGCCCTTGTGGCAAAGAGCTGGCTAGGTATAACATCGACATTGCAGCCATTAGTAAGTCCCGGCTCCCAAATGAGGGTCAACTCACAGAACGGGGATCTGGCTATACCCTCTTCAGGAAGGGTAAGCCTGCTGCAGAGAGAAACTGCATTTATGGAGTTGGATTTGTTATCAGCCAACGCATCCTACATAGGCTAACTTAAATGCCTATTGAGAACAACGAGCGCCTCATGACGCTTCGAATCCCACTGAATCACTCACGTCATGCCTTTTTCATCAGTGCATATGCCCAAACACTGGATGCCGAGGATGACAATAAGGAGGCCTTTTACGCCTACCTCGACAGAGTGCTAGCCTCTATCCCAGAGAAGACAAGGTTGTGCTCATTGGTGACTTCAATGCCAGAGTTGGCAGAGATGCTGACATTTGGCAGGGAACCATAGGGAAAAATTGACGAAGCAAGTGTAATCCCAACGGCCTTCTCCTCCTCAGCAAGTATGCTGCACTCAACCTCACAATCACCAATACCTTGTTGAGGAAGGCCGACAAGTTCAAGGGTTAATGGCAACACCCACGATCCAAACACTGGCATCTCATTGACTATATCATTGTCAGAGAAAGTGATCGCCGAGATGTCCTCATCATCCGTGCCATGCATGGCTTGGACCACTGCGACACTGATCATCGGCTCGTCAGAGCCAAGCTCTCACTTCACGTCGCCCAAAAATGGCGAAGGCAGCAAGCCTCCAGAAGAGATTTTAACACTGAGCATCTGGAGGATCCAGCGGTAACACATGCTTTCAGTGAGCAGCTCGAACATGGGCTGATAAACAACCCGACAACAAACAACCCAAATCCCAGTGTCAAATGGGGTATTCTCGAGACTGTCATGACAAAAACCTGCAGAGAGACCTTCGGCCAGATCGTAAGAATACACCAGGACTAGTTTGATGAAAATGACCCGGCAATCAATGTACTCATCGATGATAAACTGCTGCTTTAACTGACTGGCAGAACCCTCAGACTCGGACCAAAGCTGATACCTTCCGCAGGAAGAAAGCGGCAGCCCAGTGGGAACTTCTCAATCTAAAGAACGACTGGTTTAAAAATAAAACATGTGAAACACAAAAATTTGCAGATCAGCACAAGATGCGTGAATTTTTCAATTCCACTAAAACATTTTATGGGCCAATCACTCATGGCGCGGCCCCCCTCCACTTATCCGATGGTAAATACCATAATTAAAGACGATGGCCTCACTCAGCGATGGAAAGAGCACTACCTTTCACTGCTTAACCGAAACACTGATGTGGATGTCCTGACTGCCCAGCAGGTCCCTCAGCATCCAGAGCTGACCCACCTGAGCTATGCTCCATTTCTGGATGAGGTAGCTACTGTCATCAAACGGATGAAAAATAAAGCCTTGGGGCCTGATGGAATCCCAGCCGAGGTGTATAAAGCAGGAGGACCTCTGCTTACCAGTCATCTCTCCTCTCTCCTGGAGAATATAATTATGGGAAAAGAAAGAAATCCCCCAAGCTCTTAAAGACGCCTCCATCGTTAATATTTATAAGAACAAGGGAAACCTATCAGACAGTGGCAACTAGCGCAGGATCCTGCTGTTGTCTGTAGCTAGCTTTAGACCATCACGTGGCACCACTGACATGATATTTTGCTGCCCGCCAGATACGGGAAAAGTGCAGAGAACAGCATTGTGACCAGTGTATGGTTTTCATTGACCTAACCAAGGCCTTCGACTCGGTCAACAGGGAAGCCCTCTGGTGGACCCTCAGCCGTTTTGGCTGCCCACAATAATTCATCTCCATTGTAATGCAACCCCACGATGGCATGAATGGCAGTGTCTTGCACAATGGCACCCAGTCCGACTTATTCCCCATCCCAAAGTTGATTAAACGAGGGGGTGTACTGGAACCAACTCTCTTTTCCATTTTCTTGGCTGCCTTCCTTACTCGGGCCAGTGCCAATTTAGCTGGCGGGGTGGACATCGAGTACCAGATGAAAGGTCTTTTCAACATAAGATGACTCCAGGCAAGAACAAAGGTGTCGGGAGATTCCATTATTGAACTGCAGTATGCAGGCGACCTCACCCTTGTAGCTCACACTGAACACGACCCACAGGAGATCCTGAACACCTACGCAGATGCGTATGCACACTTCGGCCTCGAGGTGAATGTACGTAAGACTCAGATTCTCTTTCAACCTGCTCCTGGTTCAGACACACCTCCACCATCCATCCAGCTTAACGGTACAACCCTCTCTAATGTTACATAGTTTCGGTATATCGGCCACCTGTCCACCACCGCGGACATTGATGTAGAGATTCAGCATCGGATCAGATGTGCATCTCAAGCCTTTGGCAGACTCCGAAACCGTGTCTTCAGCTGTAGGGAGCTGAAATTATCTTCAAAGTGGCAGTGAAACATGGGTCACATACAGGAGGCACCTCAAGGCACTTGAAACCTTTCACCAACGTAGTCTACGTTCCATTCTCCGTGTTCGCTGGGAGGACAAGAGAACCAATGTCCGTATTCTTGCTGACACCAACTGTAGGAGCATCAAGGCTACCATTATCCATGAACAACTACACTGGACTGGCCATGTTACCCGCATGGACGACAGTAGACTGCCAAAGCAGCTACTTTACATTCACCTCACGAATAGTAAATGTAACGCCAGCGGGCAACTGAAGAGGAATAAGGATAGTCTTAAGACAAACCTGAAAACGTGCCAAATCGACCCCCTCACCTGGGAGACGATTACTCCACATCACAACGCTTGGAGGAGCCCCACACGAGAAAGTGTCAATACTTTCGTGTTAGCCCGACTGCAAACCGAGGCAGACAAGCGCCAACGCTGGAAAGACGCTGCAACCGCCCCTCCCACAGCAGATGTAGTCCTCCACATGTGCAACGAATGTGAGCGACTCTGCCGGTCCCATATCGGCCTCTTTAGTCACCACAAAACTCACCAATGAAGGTGACATCCCTAATAACTAATACCATTGTATCATGGATGGATTATCGTCATACTCGATTCCGAGTGATAGCAAAGTAGTAATAGTAGGATTACCAACTTTACCAAGTTTGTACTCTGCTGCCCTGCTACCCTGGTAAATGTGCATGACAGCTGATCTCCAGCTACACTATCCACATTGTTCAACTACACCGACTTCAATCATAACGATCCTGTTGTTGTTCTCGCTGTATGACGACACAACAGGCTTCCATCATGCCATATTTTTGTATAAAAGAACACACACTGTAGAGGCCACTCCCTTACCACAATCCACCTCGGCAACAAGCTACCACTCTGTACAGGCCACCAAGTACAACAGAATATTTACATTTCTATGTTTGTCTTTGCATTACCTATCAAGGTTAATCAGAAGAAAGGGGAGCTAAAGAAAGAGAAGTAAGCTGGCTAGATACCAGTATTATATCTAAACCAGATTGCTTTTTGGGTCATCGAGTGAACTATTTCCATTCTATATTTCTACAAGAACGCCTTCAGTAATGATCTTTATACTACAAGATAGTATACCGTACAAGTTCTACAGAAATCTACTACCCATAACAGCTACATAAACACCCAACAATGAAGGAGATATTTCCATTATGTATTAATGATAAAAGAAAGAGTTGACCCTATTTTAACTTTTTGTTTTTATCGTTAATACATAATGGAAATATCTCCTTCATTGTTGGGTGTCTGTATGTAGCTTTTATTAGTTGTAGATTTCTGTAAAACTTAAGAATACTTCCAATATATACTGTATCTGAGTAATGACTGACTTGACCTAAAAGTGCCAAATAACGATACTGCTCATGACCTGATAATGACCCACTTTCTGATGGTGACCAGTTGATGACTCCTGTGACCTAATACACTTTAACCTAATAGTGACTGAAATGGAATGTGACATTTGATTTAAAGGTGACAGTGGGATAATGTGTTTCTCAACCTTACACAGAGATGCGGTGGGCCAGTGGAAACAGCTCTTGCTTCATGCCATAAGGGTTGCTAGTTTGACCCTGTGGCACTCCCAGTTCACCCACCTGTGAATGAGTACCTAACTTTACAGGCGATCGAGTGCCTCCTTGCCCACCGAAGGCTTGGTATACAGTGTGCTTAATGAGTATGTCAGGGAGGCTGGTAATGAGGGGACACCGTATTCTTATGCCCAGTACAATTCTTCTGACAAGAGAACCTCGACCTAATTTTCACTCCTAAACTTTTAGTTAATGTGATGGTGCATAGTTTACTTGATCTTTCCCGTTTTATTTGCACACAGACCAAGGAGAGGCGCGGCTAACATCTGTCCCAGCGGGCTTGCTGCTGAGACCCACCCCAAAGAGATCTTCTTGGCTGTTGGTACAAGCTGGAGTGAGGAGAGAGAAAATCATGGTTAACACACACAAACGCAAACACGCGCGCACACACACACACACACACACACACACACACACACACACAGACTTACCTCTTCATGAAGATAGGGCCAAACATTAAGGCCGACAGAGATGGATATGCCTAATGCGAACATCATGACATAGATGACCTTATGGGACCGCAAGCGAGCTTTCCTCTCCTCCGGGGTCTCTTTCAGCGTGGCCGGGTTCTCCTCATAAGCGGGAGGACTGTCCCTATCACACAACAAGACCACCCATCAGAGAAGGGGAAAGGAGAGAAGGGGGAAGGAGAGAAGGGGGAAGGAGAGAAGGGGGAAGGAGAGAAGGAGGAAGGAGAGAAGGGGGGTAAAGAGAGAAGGGGTTAAGAAGAGAAGGGGGTAAGGAGAGAAGGGGGTTAAGAAGAGAAGGGGGTAATGAGAGAAGGGGGGAGGACAAAAGGCGGAGGAAAAGAAAGGGGATAGAAGAGAAGCGTAGCAAGAAACAGTGAAGTAAAGTTAAGAGGGTGTGTGTGTAATAATAATAATAATAATAATAATTAACGGTTTATTGAAAAAGTTCTGCAGCCCGAAGGCTGAAAATATACATTGGACATAAATGACTTATTACATACATTGGTGGTTTAACAAAAGCCTTCATTAGAGAAAGGTGAAGGAACATACAGTGAACATACAGATTAATGTAGGTGTTGAACAGCAAAAACGTAGTGTAGTAACTCCCTCCCAGATGGTGTTAGGAGGGACCTCACGTGGTGTAGTAGTTCCCTCACAGATGGTGTTATGAGGGGCCTCACGTGCTGTAGTAATTCCCTCACAGATGGTGTTATGAGGGGCGTCACGTGGTGTAGTAATTCCCTCACAGATGGTGTTATGAGGGGCCTCACGTGGTGTAGTAATTCCCTCACAGATGGTGTTATGAGGGGCCTCACGCGGTGTGGTAATTCCCTCACAGATGGTGTTATGAGGGGCCTCACGTGGTGTAGTAATTCCCTCACAGATGGTGTTATGAGGGGCCTCACGTGGTGTAGTAATTCCCTCACAGGTGGTGTTATGAGGGGCCTCACGTGGTGTAGTAACTCCTTCACATATGGTGTTATGAGGGGCCTCACGTGGTGTAGTAATTCCCTCACAGATGGTGTTATATGAGTGAGGTGTGGCCCCAGGCCTTCCTATCGTAGACGGATTAACACATCACTGGTTATCACGGGCCGTTATCACTGGGTACCTGGGACCTCACTGTGTGAAGGTCAACTTGGGTACCACTGTTACTGTTGAGTTGTTCTCACTGACTTAAGCACTGTTCACCACTGTTCACCTCTGTTTAACACTGGTTCCGTTCCTTTCCTAAATGAAATAGTAACTTCTGGCAGAACATGTTGATATTCCGGTGGGGAGGAGGGTTCAGGGGAAGGGGTTGGTATGGGCCAACATAACAGTTGACCTGGCTGCTCTGAGAGGAGCGCCAGGTACGTCTTGACCCTTCGGTGGTCAAGGATGTAGTGTGTGTGTGTGTGTGTGTGTGTGTGTGTGTGTGTGTGTGTGTGTGTACAGAGTGGAGTTAAGCGTACAACTACAGTGAATTTGATATGCATTATAATCAATTGCTATCCTGCCAATGGATAAAACATTTCCTTGTCGGACGAATCAGAAACTAATTGGTGTAGGTAAAACTCTCCTGCTGGAGAAGACAGATACTGCCAGGTAAGAGACAAAATATGTCATAGGGAAGGAGTCACGATTTATCCTCCAAAGGACTCTGTACCTTCTTACTATATAACACACGACAGGAGGCAGTTCCTACCCACAATATAACCCACCTCAGGAGATAGTTCCTACCCATAATATAACCCACCTCAGGAGATAGTTCCTACCCACAATAAAACCCACCTCAGGAGATAGTTCCTACCCATAATATAACCCACCTCAGAAGATAGTTCCTACCCACAATATAACCCACCTCAGGAGATAGTTCCTACCCATAATATAACCCACCTCAGGAGATAGTTCCTACCTGCCAGAAATAGTAGAGATGGAACTGGCGCTGAGAGAATCCTTCTTCATGGGGTGGAGTATCACGCCGTCCATACTGTGATCAATGTGTAGTGTCCGGCGGTTCTTCCTGAATATGTTAACCATCTTGAATGCTGTTGACGTCCTCTTGTTTACGACGACAATGGAAACGTCAGTGAGGTATTCTGTTTACTATTTGGGGATAAACAATATACCCAAAGAGGTGACAAACTCTTCTTTAATCACCTTCCTCGTGGTGTGATTCTCTTAAGTGAAGAAATACACATCTTGATCACCTACTGTAATACGTTTTCTCTTAAGATTCTCAGGAACGTGATAATTAAAACTCTGTGTTACATCATGAGTATGTCTGGATAGGTGCTACAAGGCTGGGGAGAACTGGTCCTGTGGAAGTACCTGTTGCTTAGCTCGACCTGTGGGAGTAAACAAAAAATAAAAAATACGTCATACAACAGCACATCATGAGAGGACACATTATAAACATTACAATTAATAAGGCGGGGAAGTGTTCTTGGGGAGGCCGTCGGAATCACTAGTTGATCCCTCACACACCGACGGACGGATCAAAGCTACTGGGGGCGCCGGTGGGTGGAACGGTACCGCTTTTCGCCTTGCAAGCGAGAAGTCATGGGTTCGATTCTCGGGCCGGTGGAAAGTTGTTCGGACACACTTCCCGGCCTCCCTTGGTCCCTGTTCACCTAGTAGCAAAGTAGGTACCTGCTGTAAATCGAAAGTTACGAATTCGTATTCAGGGACAAGTGTTTGGAGCTTCCAATAACTTGCTTAGACATAAACCATTGACTCTTCGGGCTTCTACGCCCTTGACTATTCAGGCTTCTACGCCCTTAACTCATGAGACATAAAGGCAAACATGTGTAATGAGGGGTTTTAAAAAAGGTAGGACGTATAGAATAGAATATTTAGTTGTAGGATGTAAAGAGAGGAAGTTTGGTAGCGTGGCCGGTTAGTTATTTACACTTATATTATCTTATACGTTCTTAAGGGACAACTGCTCAAACACCACTTCGATACAACTATTTATTAATTCACTCAATGACACAGACACATTAATATCAATATTATATCGACGTTACTAGCACATACATGGCAGGGACACATTACTCGAAACATTATATTTACGTTACTAGACACTGACTCTCGGACACAAACATGAAATGAGTACACTTCCCACAGTAGGTAACTCACCCTATGGATAGCTCTGACAAAGACTCACGTGTGGCCTGAGGGAAGCCCAGTGGGTGCTGCTGGACTGTCTCCTATGGGAGACTCTGCTTAGCTGGTGACGCAGGGGTCTGGTCGAGAGGTCTCCCTCCCGCCCTGGGGGAAGGACGAGCGCGTGACTCTGTGTGAACGAACAGAATGACGACCCAAATGAGAGAGAGACGAGTCGAAAGAGGCTCTGGACGGGACAGGGCCTTTATATGGGGGAGACCCAGCCGGCGATCGACCTCTACCAAGGTGTGGTTGTAGGTCACCCGGCTAACTCAAGCAATTAGTGGACGAGGTCAGGTCTCTTGGGTCCTGACGTAGGGTGTGTCAACTTGGTAAGTGGGGGTACCACGAGGCAGTACACTGTACAGTACTCCCTGCTATATGTGTTGTAATTCTCTGGGCTGTAAGCTGTGGTCTGATAAACAATCATAACACATGAACTTAGCATGCTTCCCTGTTGAGCGCTGTAAACGTTTCTGCGCTTCACCTTACACAAGGATGTAGGGGGGTGCCCAATAAAAAAAAAAAAAAAATCAAAGTTACTTGACCTTGGCCAAGACCACACGCACTTGATACTAACTTGTAATAAGGAATGACTAATAGTTCAAGAACGTGTTACTATAAATACATAAAAAATAAAAACCTTCAATTGAGTTTTTGTTTTTCTCAGCAAGATTCATATCAAGCTCTCGGCGATTGCTCTAGTCACAACCCGACAATATCTAATGACAGAATGTCTCTTATCTATTATAATAATAATAATAATAATAATAATAATAATAATAATAATAATAATAATAATAATAATAATAATAATAATAATAATAATAATAATAATAATAATTATAAAGATGAATAGGATCTAAAATTACATCAGTGGCCAAAACTTTAGTGCAGAGAAGTCACACAAGATGACAGAAAATTTGCTGACGACACAAAATAGGCCGTATACTGTAATGAAATATGATGACACCGAAAAATTACAGGAATATCTAAACAAACTTTTGTTGGGGTCTGAAAAATGGAAGATGAAATTCAGTGTGAGAAAATGTAAAGTACCAAGATTGGGAAATGGAAACCGAGAAACGAGCAATCAAGTAAACAACCTTGATATTTGAATACAGAAATCTGACTACTGAGGAAGATTTAGAGGTAATGATAAATAGGAACCTTAATTAAACGAAGGCAGAAATGCGTTTATGTTCGATACAAGGGTAATTAGTTGTCAAGACTAGCGATGTTATCCTTGAACTATATCTCGCGTATGTGAGATCTCACTTGGATTATGTGGTTCAGTTTTGGTCACCGCACTGCAGGATGGATATTGATTCACTAGAAAGCATACAGAGGAGGATAACAAGACTAATGCCGGGCATTAAGAACCTTAAGTATAGAGACAGGTTCAAGCATCTGGATGTGCATTCCCTTGAGAGAATTAGAGTGAGGGACGATATGATCGAGGTGTATAAACGGAGATCAGGATTAAACAAAGGTGTTATAACATGTACTTTAACTATCTAACTAAGAGCAAACTCGTAGTAATGGTGTTTAATTAGACATATTTAGACTTAGGTGAGATATAGGTAAACACTGGTTTGGGAATAGAGTAGTGGATGAATGGAACAAGGTACCCAACACTATCATTAACTCGAATTCGCTGAGAAGTTTCAATCGGTTGGGTGTAAACGAGACTGCCCAGAATGGACCACCCGCTGCATTTTCCTCCATTCTTATGTTCTTTTGTACTAATTATGAACCTTTTCTACATTATTCTCAACTAACTATACAGTGGCACTCCAGCCATCACCACAGCGTCATGTTACTTACCACTAATGGAGAGCAAACAAAACCCTGCGAACACACAAACACAAGGGGAGCATTTGGTGCGGTCAGCGCTTAACTGCCATAACATCAATCTCTGACAAGTAATTAATTAAGTATAAGTGTGTGTGTGTGTGTGTGTGTGTGTGTGTGTGGACTAGTACACCGGCGTACATTATGATAAGTAACTTTATCGGATAACACTTTATTAACATACTACCGAGGGCACAGTTCAACCTCCAATCTTTCTTTCCATGTTTTATATACACCGCTTCATATCTTTATTTATTTGTTTTCTTCCTAATCCAAGTTTTATCTCAGGAGCTTTTTCAACTAGGACGCTAAAATCTGGACGCAAGAGTAACTTATTTTCTTCTATCTTTCCTCAGTGTGTCATCGAGTTATCATTAATAAATAAAATATAATTACTCGATATATTTTATTAACCTATACGATCATTTGTATTTATAAAAAGATCAAAGAAAACTGTCATGTATAAACATTACAGAATATACCTAATGTCCCTCAACAGCGTCTAACACTCACTCAAAACGCCTTCAATCATCACTTCAGCTCCTCTGCCTCCTAAAACACACACTCAGACTAAACAGTGACCCAAAAGCTTCCCTACGCTCCATCAAGTGTCCGGAGGCCGAGAGCATTGTTTATCAGTCAACTGAACACTCACCATGACACGCCAAATTGCTCGTGTATCCAAATACCCTTTTCTCTTCTATCTACAGAATTTAATCACTTTTTTTATTACAAAGTCGATAATGTGTCTTAACAATACCTGGTAAATAAACAAACACATTCCATAATCAATCAGAATCTATCAGAATTAGCGCTTTTTTTTTTATGAAGGGGATGCAGGAAATAACTTATTGTTCAGAAGGAAAACGTTGTGAATAGGGAATACTGTAGCTTACGTGTAAATAAAAACAGTTTATTTAATATATTTCTTGGTTGTGATTTTTTTAACGGTAATTACCCCTTGTTAAAGAACCCGCTATGATAAAAAATAATAATTGTTACAGTTTGTATATTTCAACACACACACACTAAAGGTTTTCCTAGTGTTAGAAGATGAGTGACCATATGTTCCCCCTTAAAGACTTCATCTTCCTCTAACCTTTATGTATGAGCGGAAGAGCAGAAGCCTTGACCGATGTTTCTCCTTAGTCTTTTCCCCTTCAGTAATAACTTAAAACACTCAACCTAATTATCTTCAACTTCTTTCATTATTATTTTTTTTACAGTGAGAATCTTTTTTTTTTTATTTAATGGTTAGTAAGAATCCCGTTTTTTATGATAATGGTTCTGTGTCGTCGTTATAGAAATTAAGTTCTGCTTTGAAAAGACACATTGCCACACACTGCACTCTCCAAACTCATATATTTAACGGAAGAAGTATTGTAATATGTCACGGAATTCAGCAAAAAAATTACTCTTTTTTTTATTTCGTCGTCTCTTCCTTGGTTGTGCGAGTGTAATGGTGACATTTCTAGTGTAAACATAAAGAATAAACTCCTCACCTGTCTATATTCCCACGGAGGTATGCCAGTGACAACTAATTGCCTTAATACCTGGAGCAACAAGTGAAGAGCTGTGTTGAGGTGGCAGTCAAGACGTGAAATACTGTAAA